GTGAAGCGTTGCGTATTTATGCATCCCGTTGGCTACCAAACCTATCGAAATACATTAATATCGAGAAAGAGGTAGAATCTGATCGTGAGTTGGATTCGACTCGGGAGGTAACTTCAAAAAGTAGGCTGCTGTTGGAATCAATTGTTAGCCTATTACCAGCAGAAAAGGGTGCAGTTTCGAGCAGTTTTCTTTTGAAATTATTGAAGGCAGTTAACATAGTAAAAGCTTCTTCCTCTACAAAGACAGAATTGGCAAGAAGAGTTGGGATTCAATTGGAGGATGCCACTGTTAATGATTTGTTGATTCCCTCTTTATCGTACACGAGTGACACGATATATGATATCGATGTTGTGAGGATGATATTAGAGCAGTTCATGTTACAAGGGCAGAGCCCCCCTACAAGCCCTCCTAGAACCAGAAGGAATATCGAAAGGAGAAGGTCTCGTTCGGCTGAAAATGTCGAGTTCGAGTTTCAAGAGAGCCGGAGATCATCTTCTGCATCGCATAGTTCCAAACTCAAAGTGGCAAAGCTTGTCGACGGATATCTTCAAGAAATAGCCCGAGATGTTAATTTACCCCTGCCAAAGTTTCTTGCAATTGCAGAAGCAATTCCAGATTTCACAAGGCTCGAACACGACGACCTTTACAGAGCTATTGATACTTACCTCAAGGTAAACTAACAACAGTTATAATGATTTATCTGCCCTCTTGTAACTAAAATTTATCATTATGTACAATAGTGTGAAAATTACCGGTATTGGTGCAGCGACATCCTGAACTCAATAAGAGCGAAAGAAAGCGCCTGTGCCGAATATTAGATTGCAAAAAGTTATCGATGGAAATCTGTATGCATGCTGCACAAAATGAGATGCTCCCTCTGAGGGTGGTAGTGCAAGTTCTCTTCTGTGAGCAAGCACGAGCTGCCACTAGTGGTGCCCAAGTAACTGAGCTTCCTAGCAATATCAAAGCACTTTTATCGACTTATAACAATCCAGGAAAGCCTACAACGTCGTTTAGTACTAATGCTACAACAGCAGCAGAAGATCAATGGAGTGTCTCGGGCCTCAAATCGCCGAAATCTAAGGTTTCAACCCTGAAACCGAAGTTGGGAGAGAACAAGGACTTAGCTGAAAATGGAGACGAAAAATCTTCAAAGGTCAAGACTTTGTGTAAGCTTCCCCACAGACCTAAAAGAATGTTCAGTAAGCTATGGTCTATCAACAAAACTCCAAGTGAAAAGAACTGATAAAAATTTTGTTTATTTTCTGGTGTTAGGGAAAATTATACTCTAGCTTTACTTTTTTTTTTTTTTTTTTTTTTTTTCCTTTTTCCTCA